ACACTGGCTAGACAACACTGTAGGATGCAACACTGGCTAGACAACACTGTAGGATGTAACACTGGCTAGACAACACTGCATGATATAACACTGCAGGATATAACACTAGCTAGACAACACTGTAGGATGTAACACTGGCTAGACAACACTGTAGGATGCAACACTGGCTAGACAACACTGCAGGATATAACACTGGCTAGACAACACTGCATGATATAACACTGGCTAGACAACACTGCATGATATAACACTGCAGGATATAACACAGGCTAGACAACACTGTAGGATGCAACACTGGCTAGACAACACTGCAGGATATAACACTGGCTAGACAACACTGCATGATATAACACGGCAGGATATAACACTGGCTAGACAACACTGTAGGATGCAACACTGGCTAGACAACACTGTAGGATGCAACACTGGCTAGACAACACTGTAGGATGTAACACTGGCTAGACAACACTGCATGATATAACACTGCAGGATATAACACTGGCTAGACATAAAGCAGAGAAGGATGGAAGCTGTCAGATCGTCATGTATTTAAAACCACTGGAGGGACTCTCTTATTTTCCCATTTTATTTTATTAATTATAGAAATAAGGAACATTATTGACTTATCAACTCAAAGGTATGATCACTGTTAACCTGCACCTCTACAGTGATGTTTGCTAACAAGTTAAAGAGAAAATAAGGAAAATAAGATAATTAAACTGAAAATTCTATATTTTGTTAGGGGTGATTGTTAACTGGTAGCTGTATTTTACAAGTGTTATATAATTACTGCGTCATGGTGACTATCCTGTCCTGCCATCGTTTTGCCTTTTGATTACAACAGTTTTGAATATGGTGCAAGTACTTCAAGAACTGTACACACACACACACACACACACACACACACACACACACACACACACACACACACACACACACACTCAAACACACACACTCAAACACACACACTCACACACAAAGGTGTAGGGAGACAAAAACTAAGTGCACTAGAGAATGGAAAAAGTACAGAAGGCAAAGAACCGAGGAAAATAGAGACCAGTTGAAGAGTCAGGAACGAGTATGCACAGATAAGGAGGGAGGCCCAGCGACAGTACGAAAACAACATAACATCGGAAGTCCTTAACCTATAAATAGCTGTCAATAAAGCTAGGGATCCTTAACCTTGTCAAACCCTGTGTAAAAAAAAAAAAAAAAACAAAAAAGTCAAGTCTGACCCGAAACTGATGTATAGCCACTTTAGGAGGAAGACGACAGTCAAAGACCAGGTAATCAGGCTGAGGAAAGAAGGTGGGAGAGCTCACAAGAAACGATCAAGAGGTATGTGAGGAGCTCAACACGAGATTTAAGGAAGTATTTACAGTGAGACAGGAAGGACTCTGGGAAGACGGAACAAAGGGGGACACCAACAAGGGTTAACCAACAAGTGCTGGATGAATTACACACAACTGAAGAGGAGATGAAGAAGCTGCTAAGTAGCCTTGATACCTCAAAGGCGGTGGTACCGGTCATCTCTCCGTGGGTCCTTCGAGAGAGAGCAGAGACAGTGTGTGTGCCACTAACCACAATTTTCAGTACATCCCTTGAATCTGGCCATTACCTAAGGTATGGAAAACGGCAAATGTAGTCCCCGTTTTTAAGAAAGGAGACAGAAACGAGGCACTGACGTGTATATGCAAAGTCATGGAGAAGATTATCAGGAGGAGAGTGGTGGAGCACCTGGAACGGAACAAGATTATAAACGACAACCAGCACGAATTAATGGAAGGCAAATCCTATGTCACAAACCTTCTGGAGTTTTATGACAAACTAACAGAAGACACGAGAGAGGGGTGGGTTGATTGCATTATCTTGGACTGCAAGAAGGCCTTCGACACATTTCCTCACAAGACATAAGTACAGAAGCTAGAGGATCAGGCGTGTATAACAGGAAGGAAAATTAAATCCGATGATGATCAGGCAGTGCTACAGAGAGACCTGAACATGCTGGACACGTGGTCCAGCAACTGGCTCCTCGAATTTAACCCCGCCAAATGCAAAGTCGTGAAGATCGGGGAAGGGCCAAGAAGACCGCAGACAGAGTATAGGCTAGGTAGCCAAAGACTGCAAACCTCGCCCAAGGAAAAAGATCTTGGGGTGAATATAACACCGAGCACTTCTCCGGAAACACTCATCAGCCAGATAACTGCTGCAGCATATGAGCGCCTGGCAAACCTGAGAACACCGTTCCGATACCTTAGTAAAGAATCGTTCAAGACACTGTACACCGTGTACGTTAGGCCCATACTGGAGTATGTAGCACCAGTTTGAAACCCACACCTAGTCAAGCACGTCAAGAAATTAGAGAAAGTGCAAAAATTTGCAACAAGGCTAATTCCAGAGCTAAGGGGAATGTCCTACGAAGGTAGGTTAAGGGAAATCGGCCTGACGACACTGGAGGACAGGAGGGTTAGGGGAGACATGATAACGACATACAAAATACTGCATGGAATAGATAAGGCGGACAGAGACAGGATGTTCCAGAGAGGGGACACAGAAACAAAGGGTCACAGTTGGAAGTTGAAGACTCAGATGAGTCAAAGGGATGTTAGGAAGTGTTTCTTCGGTCATAGAGTTGTCAGGAAGCGGAATAGTCTGGCAAGTGATGTAGTGGAGGCAGGAACTATACATAGTTTTAAGACTAGGTATGATAAATTTCATGGAGCAGCGATAGAGAGGACCTAGTAGCGATCACTGAAGAAGCGAGGCCAGGAGCTGAGTCTCGACCCCTGCAACCACAAATAGGCGAATACCGTTAGGTGAGTACACTGGTGTGTGTGTGTGTATATTATATATATATATATATATATATATATATATATATATATATATATATATATATATATATATATATATATATATATAATCTTTAACTCTACTTTCACACCAGTGCATCATCAGGAGCTATGCATAGCATTGCATAGCTCCTGATGACGCACTGCAATTTACTTGGCAGTTACAGCGTACTGCTTGTAGCAGTGGCTCTGGATCGGGGTGGCAGGTTGGTGGGGAACTTATCGTGGCCATCTAGTGTGGCGATGTTGTGATCTGCATTATCAGCAACATGTTGGAGGAAGTGTGCAGATGTGATGCCAGGAATACCAGTGCACTGACTTCTAGCTGCATGACGGTCGAACCTTTCAACTTCAGAGTATGAGAAAGTGGATCCCAGATTGTATAGAGCATCAGTGAAAAATTTAGATCCTAAGTAATGATGCATTTGCCCTGCGAGGTCAGTTTGACGAGGTGCGAGTAGAACTATAGGTCTGGAAGCCGACATATTAACCTGACCAGTGGATACGATCCTCCGCTCGGTTCTCCTTTCGCTGGTATATATTATCAGGAACAGGCGCAAGGTCTCAGGTACAAACTTTTTATTATTTTTTCCAAAGAGCACAAGTCCTCACAACTTGGATATGTATCAACACATAGTTCACTGTACTTAGTGCCACTCTTGTTGACATCTGTAGCTGATCATACTAGTCTGAGAGTTGTGGGTTTAATAAAATTCATGTAGGATATTCAATGTTGTGCCCTTCAGTGTCATCACATTGGCCTTGTTGACAGCAGTAGTTACAATGTCTTTTTCAAAATGGTCTTCAAGTTTAGCTCTCATGTATTTGGCAGTATATTCAGTCTTGTCACGGTACTTCATTTTTTTTTTTTTTTGTAACCAGGTCACTAGTTTGTTGTTCATCATTTTCTTTGAAGGTAATTAGCCACCTTCTAAAACGCTTTTTTTTTCTAGATATATCTATCGGCTTGCCTGGAGTTTAGTCCATGTCATGGCTCGAGAGTTGAAGACTCTGGGTATCTAGTTCCCTGATGGGAAATTAATGCTGGAAATCTGGTGGTAGAATTCATTTACTGTGTGCAAATCTTGTGCAAACTCAGTCCTACTCTGAACAGTCTCTGCAACACTGTCAGCACACTTCCTACACAGCCCCAGTAGTGTACTGGAAGTCATTTATTTTGACTGGGAACACATCAAAGCCTCTCCTCTTCCTTGAAAACCTAACAAGTTTTTTCTGATGTGGGTCTAGGTCATATGATGACCCGCCGTTGTAGCTTCTGGTCATCTGGCCGAGGCCTTCCGCTGGCTTACCGGTCCACCCGTTTAAAAAATTATGGTCATAGTTATAACAATAAGGAGTAGTGTTCGCGGAATTGAAATATACCTTCACTAGATCGAAGAAAACAGCGGCTGGAGGATAGCGTTCACTAGGCTCTCTCAAATCTCGTTAATAGTATTCTTGTTGTAAAAGTCGAAGTGACATTATGCAGAGATTATCCTGGCGATACAATCAGCGTGCCACCTCGTTGTTCACTGGTTGTATTAACACTTCATATTTCACGCAACACAACCTTATCTTGACCGTCTTTCAGCCGTTCACTTGAGACTACCTTCAGGTTTGTATTAATATCGAAAGAGAAAACAGTATGTGAATAAAAGAATTATTGAGAACTTTCGGTACATATTACAAACACATTGTAGATAGAATGTAAAAGAGCCAAATCGAGTTTTTTAATATGTAATAGGCAGAGCCGCATCACACAACCTGATGTGAACAACTTATTAAAAGAAAAAAGAATCAGACGACATATTAGATTTATGCAGTTTAAATAACATTCCATCAAAACTGTTTCTCTGATTTTGATAAGTTGTTCAGCTAGATATGTTGTTGAAATATTGTAGCAAGCAAATAAATTTTGTTGCAGTTTGTTCCAACTCAAACCACAGATTGATTTGACTACTTCTACCTCTTCTAAACCAGTTAAACAATATAATTATATATATATATATATATATATATATATATATATATATATATATATATATATATATATATATATATTATATATATATATATATTATGTGTGTGTGTGTAAGGGAGAGAATGAGAGGGGCGTATTAATAGTTTTTTCCTATCTTTGTGATACAG